CTGTAGGGAGACATTGGGACTGTGGGGGACATTGTCACTGCAGGGGGGACACTTGGACTGTGGGGGGACATTTTCACTGTGAACACGGTCACTGCAGGGGACACTGTCACCATGGGGGTACACTGTCACCACAGGGGACACTGGGACTGTGGGGCACACTGTCACTGAAGGGGGGCACTGTCACCAGGGGGTACACTGTCACTGTGAGGGGACACTGTCACCATGGGGGGACACTGTCACTGGAGGGAACATTGCCACCATGGGGGTACATTGTCACTGTGGGGGACATTGTAACTGTGGGGGGACACTGTCACTGCAGGGGACACTGTCACTGCGGGGGGACACTGGGACTGTGGGGGACACTGTCACTGCAGGGAACACTGTCACTGTAGGGAGACATTGGGACTGTGGGGGACATTGTCACTGCAGGGGGGACACTTGGACTGTGGGGGGACATTTTCACTGTGAGGGGACACTGGGACTGTGCGCAAAACTGTCACCATTGGGGGACACTGTCACTGTGGAGAACACTGTCACTGTGGGGGAACACTGTCACTGTGGGGGTACACTGTCACCACTGGGGGACACTGTCACTGTGGAGAACACTGTCACCATGAGGGGACACTGTCACTGTGAGGGACACTGTCACTGCAGGGGACACTGTCACCATGGGAGTACACTGTCACTGCAGGGGACACTATCACTGCGGGGGACATTGTGACTGTGGGGGTACACTGTCACCTTGAGGCACATTGGGGCTGTGGGGGACACTGTCACTGTGGGGGGACATTGTCACTGCAAGGGGGACACTTGGACTGTGGGGGACACTGTCACTGCAGGGGACACTGTCACTGTAGGGGACACTGGGACTGCGGGGGACATTGTCACTGAGGGGGGCACTGTCACTGTGGGGGGACATTGTCACTGCAGGGGACACTGTCACTGTAGGGGACACTGGGACTGCGGGGGACATTGTCACTGAGGGGGGCACTGTCACTGTGGGGGGATGCTGGGACTGTGGGGGACACTCACTGTGAGGCACACTGTCACTGTGAGGGGACACTGTCACTGCAGGGGACACTGTCACTGTAGGGGACACTGGGACTGCAGGGGACACTGTCACTGTGGGGTACACTGTCACTGTGAGGGGACACTGGAACTGCAGGGGACACTGTCACTGTGGGGTACACTGTCACCATGAGGGACACTGTCACCATGGGGGTACACTGTCACTGTGGGACATTGCCACCATGAGGGACACTGTCACTGTGGGGACACTGCCCCCGCGGGGTGATGTGTCCCTGTGCAGGATGTGCTGCTGCTGTGCGTGGGAGCCGGTTCCCGTGAGCCACGGTGCCAGTCCCGGGGGTCCCGGGGGTCCCGGGGGTCCCCCGCAGCTGCTGCTCCCCCCGGCCGGGCCTTACCCAGCCGGTTCCCGTGAGCCACAGTGCCAGTCCCGGGGGTCCCGGGGGTCCCCTGCAGCTGCTGCTCCCCCCGGCCGGGCCTTACCGCCTCGAACTCGGCCTGGTCATCCTCGGGCAGGTCGCTGGTCTCGTACACGTCGGGCTCGTTGCGGGCCTGTGGCACCAGGGGCTGTGCTGGGAGCCCCACAGCAGCCCCCGGCCCCACACCTCATCCCCATGCACATCTCTGGGTCACACCCCCCTCTGGACACCCCCATGTCCCCACAGCCCCTGTGCCCGCTCCCCCAAAGCACTCAAACTGCACAGTGTCCCCCCAGCACCCCGACTCGCTGCCCCTGTCCCCTGACCTGCCCCAGCTCTGTCACACCAAACACGGGGTGCTCCCCCCACAGACAGACCCACAGACAGACAGACAGGTGCTCCCCGGCGCCCCCTCCCATTCCTACAGACACCCCAAACACTGCCAACCCCCACACCGCACTGACCCCTCAGCTCAGCCCCAGATCTCAGAGACCCACAACCCCTCAGATTCCCCAAACCCCCCTGCTCCCCAGACTCTGTCAGTCGTTCTAAGCTCAGACCCCCAATCCCTGCAGCCCCTCAGCCCCCCAGTGCCCTCAGACCTCCTCAGGACCCCTAACTCCCCCAGTCCCCTCAGATTCCCCCAAAACCCGACTCGCTGCCCCTGTCCCCTGACCTGCCCCAGCTCTGTCACCCCAAACACGGGGTGCTCCCCCCACAGACAGACCCACAGACAGACAGACAGGTGCTCCCCGGCGCCCCCTCCCATTCCTACAGACACCCCAAACACTGCCAACCCCCACACCGCACTGACCCCTCAGCTCAGCCCCAGATCTCAGAGACCCACAACCCCTCAGATTCCCCAAACCCCCCTGCTCCCCAGACTCTGTCAGTCGTTCTAAGCAAATTCACACAATCCCTGCAGCCCCTCAGCCCCCCAGTGCCCTCAGACCTCCTCAGGACCCCGAATTCCCCCAGTCCCCTCAGATTCCCCCAAAACTCTCGTAACCCCCTAGCCCTTGCCAGTGCCTGCAGATCCCTGAATCCCTGCAGATTCCCCTGGATCCCCTCACCATGCTGGGACACCCCTTGGCATCCTCAGATCCCTAAATCCCTGCAGATTCCCTGGATCCCGCAGATTCCCCCAGATCCCTTCACTGCCCTGAGACACCCCTCGGCACCCTCAGATCCCCCTGGCCCGCTCTGGCCCCTCGGACCCTCTCAGAGCCGCCCTTCTCCCACCTCGCCGGTCCCTGCGTGTCCCGCTGGTCCCCTCCTGTTCTGAGACCCCCCGGCCCTCTGAGACCCCCAGATCCCCGCAGTTCCCTCATTCTCCCCAGGGCCCTTATCCCGCTCGGCTGCCCCGATCCCCTCAGAGCCCCCAGCACACCTCAGACCCCCTGATGCCCCCGGCCCTCCCGACCCCTCAGCGCCCCCAGGCCCCTTC